TAGGAGGCTGCCAAGGTATGGGAAGTAGTCCACATTTTCCAGTCTGATGTTGTCAATGGAGATGTTTGGGGGTAGAACAGGCGTACTACTGTTTGGATGTGGTTGGTGGAGGATTTGGGTCTTTTTATGTTGATGGCTAGACCAAGCTGTTTGTATGCTTTCGCAAAGGCTGATAGGATACTCTGTAGGTCCTCTTCCAAGAGGGCTACAAGGGCGTTGTCGTCCGCATACTGCAGCTCCATGATCGATATGGTGGTGGTTTGACCTTTAGCCCTGAAACGGTTGATGTTGAGGAGTTGGCCGTCAGTTCTGTACATGATGTTGACTCCCTGGGGCAGATGCTTGCTTGTGAGATGTAGGATAGCAGCAACAAAGATGGAGAATAGCGTTGGAGCGATCACACATCCCTGTTTGACTCCTGTGTCGACCCGGAAGGGTTCAGTTTCGTCTCCACTGCCACTGAGTACCATGACTGACATATTGTCATGCAGCAGTCTCAGTACCCGGACGTATTTTTCTGGGCAGCCAATCTTTGCCAGTACCAGCCAGAGGGCTGAAGAGTCGAAGGCTTTGGTGAGGTCTATGAAGGCCATGTATAATGGTTGATTTTGTTCCCGGCATTTTTCTTGCAGTTGGCGAGTAGTGAAAATCATGTCTGTAACAACTCTGTTTGGGCGAAATCCATTCTGAGACTCAGGAAGGATGTTTTCTGACAGGGCGGTGAGTCTGTTGGCCAACATCCGAGCTAGGGCTTTCCTTATGGTGGACAAGAGAGAAATGCCACGGTAATTTCCGCAGTCTGCCCTGTCTCCCTTCTTAAATATGGAGACAATTAAGGCATCCCTAAGCTGAGCAGGGATTTCCTCTTCTTCCCAGATTTTGAGAAGCAGGGCATGGATGTGCTTAAGAAGATCGGGTCCGCCTTTCTTCAGGACTTCTGCTGGGATGCCGTCGGGCCCAGCAGCCTTGTTGTTTTTCATATTCTTAATGGCATCCAGCACCTCACCCAGGCTGGGTGGTTCTCCCATGCTTTCAACTATGGGCTGTTGAGGGAGTTGGTCAAGAGCCTCCATCTCAGGAATGGTGTCCCTGTTTAAGAGGTCCTTAAAGTGCTCTTTCCACCTATTTGCTATTGCATCCTTATCCTTCAGAAGCAAGAGCCCATCTTTAAAGCGAAGGGGGGTTAGGCGGCGATAGCTGGGACCATATACCGCTCTTGTGGCATCAAAGAATCCTCTTGTATCACCAGAGTCGGCAAGCTGTTGGATCTCCAGAGCCTTCTTTGTCCACCACTGGTTTCCTAACTTGCGTTTGGACGGCTGCCTTCGCTTTGGCATGGGCTTCTCTTTTCACCTTGCAGTGGATGTTATTTTGCCAGGTGATGAAAGTTTGCCGCTTCATGTCAATGAGTTGCTGTATCTCTGTGTCATTCTCATCATACCAGTCTTGATGTCTCCGCTTTTTTTGACCAAGAATGTTTTTGCAGGAGTTCATGATGGCAGTAGAAAATGTGCCCCAGTGTTTTTCAGTATCCTCCAGATAAGAGCTAAGAGCATCCTGCAGCTGTTGTTGGTAGGTGGTGTCACCCAACAGGTCGATGTTAAGCTTTGGCCGGCTCTGTTCTTTCTGCATCCTTCTTTTCCGCATTAAGCGGATAGACATGATGGAGCGAATGAGGCGGTGGTCAGTCCAGCAGTCGTCTGCACTGGTCATTGCTCTGGTGTTAAGGACATCACGGCGGTCTTTGTAGCGGACAATGACGTAATCAATGAGATGCCATAGTTTGGAGCGAGGATGTATCCATGATGTTTTGAACTTGGTTTTTTGACGGAAAAGTGTGTTGGTGATGACCAGGTTGTGCTCTGAGCACTTGGTTAGCAGTAGTATGCCACTGGAGTTTGTGTTTCCAACCCCTTCTCTCCCCAGCGTGCCTCTCCATAGGTTTCGTCCCACTCTGGCATTGAAATCTCCAAGCAGGATTAACTTGTCCTCCTTGGGGACTTCAGATAGAATGTTGTGCAGGTCAGCATAGAAGGCCTCCTTTACTTCATCCTGTGCATCAAGCGTTGGGGCGTAGGCACTAATAACGGTGGCCATCTGACTGCTGGCAAGCATTAGACGTATGGTCATTAGGCGCTCGTTGATGCCCACAGGGAGTTCATGGAGGTGGTTGATGAGGCAGTTCTTAATAGCAAAACCCACACCATGGATTTGTGGCTCATTTGCAGGCTTTCCTTTCCAAAAGAAAGTATATCCGCCTTTTTCCTCCTTCAGCTGCCTTTCAGCTGCCCTTCATCAGCCAGTCGGGTCTTGGAGAGCGCTGCAATGTCGATCTGGAACTTCCTCTACTAACTAAGCTCTCTGGAGATTATGGCAGTTCGCCTTTCAGGTCGATCGCTGGCTTGGTTGTCCGTGAGGGTCCGCACATTCCAGGCTCCAATACGTAAATGTTTTTCTTTTATTTTTTGTTTCTGACCGCGTAATGGTGATCCCTCTGGATGCGGTATTCCAGACAGGATTTTGTGAGGCAGGCTATGTTTGGGGTACCTTTTCTAACCCCCTCCCCTACTGGGGTGAGCAGAGTGGACCCTGAATAGGGGCTGCTCAGTCATGGGTGCAGCTGCCGAGAAGCTCTTTCTGCCTCAGTCCAAGAGCTTAGCGACTGAATCAAATACCCATTGCCTGTGTGCCAGGTTGTGACTAGGAACTACCAGACTTCACTGTCCTGCCCCCGTTACCACTTCCTGAACGCCACAGGACTTTGTCTTTGTCCAAGATGTAAAATGGGTAGGTTCCCTTCGGGAGGACGCCTGCGCGTAACATCTTTTAACGTGGGGAGACTAATGCGCCTGCAGCCACCACAAGGTCCTTGGCAGAGAGGGGCCTGAATCCAATGGCATGGAATCCATGACGAATGGAGACCACCCTCTGTTGCAGCCTTCATCCGCCTTCAGTGCCGTTGTGACTTAGATTATCATCCTTCGCCACTTCCGCCGTTGAGGTCTTTGGATTGTACTTTGTCTGGGACCTCCCCCTCGACCTTACCGCCATTGGTGACCCTACCAGGAGCTAAAAAGCTCCCGACGGCATCGCTCTTAGGTTAATTGGAACACACAAGGTTCTCCACCACGGCAAGGTGGCGATACATGGAGAACAACACACACACACACCTTGCGTTTTGAAGACTGATAAAACCGAAATGGAGGAACAAACTTTGCAGCCCAGTTTCCCAGCTTTGCAGACTATCCACGGGTATGCCTCTTGTTTCCTCCGCAACATGTCCTCCGTCCATACCTCTGGGAAAGGTGAGCTTGAGCTAGCCAGGGGAACGTTGCTAGCGCAGCTAACGTTAGTGCTAGCATTATCCACGTCTTTATGCGGCTCTTCTGATGATGTAGTACTAGTAGCAGCTTCACTTGTAGCTTTGGTGCTGCTAGCCTCTTTCTTTTTGTGAATTATATTATTTTTAGAAAAGAAGTCAAGTAAAAAATGTTTGCCTGCCATTATAGAGCTTTTTCGTTAGCGTTCTTGAGGGAAAGAGCTGCCACAAAATCGGCGTGGGTGGGTCACTGACACACCCCCAGCTCGCCGCAGGGTCATGAGCGTGATGACGAATCATAATTTTTTAAGGAAATCGTTTTTATTTTGTATTATAATTACTGTGAAATGTATTATGTTTTTGTCATTATTACAACAAATACACACTTGCAACTGATAACACTGGCAATGATTATTAGACTATTTAAAAAAAGATCATGCTCCAAATAAGTGGGGGTACTGCCTCTTACAAAGACTGCATGCATTCCTTCCTTTGAGTTACATTTAAGATGCAAAGATTTGCAAGCACAGATTGCTTCAACAACAGTGATCTGTCTCCAAACAGATGTTTGTTGTCTGAAACAACTGTTTAATTGAATAAGTCAGCTGAAGGGAAGCAGTATTGTGTCTGTCAGTGATGGTGTGGCACACAGAGAGAGGAAGTGATTCGTGGACTCACAGCAGACTGCCAGGATGGAACACAGGGGTGGGAAAGGTCACAGCTCAGGAGGCTGCAGTCACAGCACTGTCTGGCTGAGTCATCACTATCCACTAAGATGTTGTGTCAGCAAATCTCAGTTCTTGAACATCAATCTCACAATCTCGTGAGAACTGATATGTTATATGTTATATGTAATAAGATTACTTATTGTCAGTTTCCAACTATAATGCAAACATGACTATTTTGTTGTGGTTAGCCACACTAGATGAATTCAGAAATGTGGTATTATTTTTAAATGAATTCTCCCTTTTATGTAGTGTTTATTGGATCCATATTATTTACATATACTTCAGCATTACCTCCCAAAACAGTAAAAACACAGAAGGTTAAGCCACAGTTTGTCCATAATGTGCACAAAAAAAAGTACATAAGCTGTTCCCAGAAACATCATGTACTTACAGAGGATACATATGAAACAGGGCAGGGACAGAGTAGTCAGAATCTTTGAATGTAAACAGTTGTCTGACCTCTTTGCTGTTATTAAGCTGCTATGTCTCCATTCTAATGAATACTCAAATAAAATTGTCCATGGATTTAAAATTTCAAACAAGTTGAAAACATTTTACAAGATGGTCACTTGACCATGTGAGGTGAAATTGCACTAGTTTAAACATTGTTGTCTTAATTCCCATAATAGTGAACATTACTAGACACTCGTTCTTTTCAGGTTAGCAGTCTTACTATCTAAAGATACCAAATGTATTCAAAAAGTGTATTTAATCTGAAGCAAGTATCTAAATATCTTATTATACAAGTTTTTATCCTAACCGATAGATAAGTAGTAAATGGCTATCTGGAAATTAGAAAAAGTTATCTTCTATCGTCATTATTCTATTATTTGCTCTCTAGATGAAATGAGCAGGTGAGAGTTGTATTGTTTGCCTTATTATTAATTTTTAATGTAATGTATCACAGGTTTAGTCAAACGTTGAAGTCTCCTGTTTCTGTTTCTCTCCCCCAGCTGTTTCGGCGCGTGGCAGCTGCTCTCCCGGGAATGGAAAGTATGCAGGAATCAAGCAAAGAAGGGAGTATCCTTTGACCCATTTGCCTATCATAAAAAATATTCCCTTTCCTGAAAGTTATTTCAATACTAATGTGTGGACCTGCTAAGATCAGAAGACATGTGTTTTCATTTTATTGTTGGTGTGTCGGGAGGGCTGATAATTTATTCCGGCAAATTACTCAGACCTACTAATTAACCTAACAGAAGTTATTGAGTCTATGTAAGTTTACTGCTTGGCTCAGATCCACCAACATCAGCAAGATCTCACCTCTATTAACTCCTGAAGAACCAGGTTCAATTAACTGCTGTTTCAATTCAGACGACCCGCTAAATCTGTTTAAGCGACCCCGAAGGATTTTGATATCAGTAAATGAGGTGTGGCCCTACCTAAGTGTGACTGTGGCAGGGTGCAATCTTACCTTTGAAGCAGGAGAGGAGAGCGCAGATGTCTTTTGAGTTGTCCCAATCCAAAAGGTGGGATCAGTTTATTTGAAGAAAAATAGGTCCAAACGTATACAGGGTTTTTACCTTCTCTCGTTACAACATTATAATCATACTAAACATATCATGCTGGGGTCATTTTCTAATCTAAAACCTTAATTCATAGTTTAGACATTAAAGTCTTCCGACAAAATCCTAAAGGAATTTCCTCCCCATCGACGGGGTTAATATCCACACTCTATGGCCTGGCACATTCAGAGGTCAGTCCCTGAAAATGTTCAGTTTTGAATTCCGACAGAACCTAGAGGGATATCCTCATGGATCGAAGGTTCTAACATTCACAGCCTATAGCCCGACACATTAAGAGGCCGCTCCTCAGAATGATCAGTTAGAATTCTAGTTTTTAAACTTTCATCCAACCATTCACTCAGCATTCAATACACAGAGATGCAAGCAATAGTTACCAAGTTTGAGAGAACCTTACCGAGGCGAAAAAACCCAGCTCTCCAGGGAGAGACTTTACCGGGAGAGAGTATACCAGGGGAACCCCCTCCCCCCTCTAGGTTGCTCCCTCTCTGCCAGTGTCTTTATGCTCAACAACAGGATAGAAAAACCTAAAGACACCTCCTCCATACCCATATTTGTGGAAACTGGGCATGGCCGCTGATGTACAGGACTGGACATGACCAGACATATTCTATGGCTATGGCATAAGACACACCTTCCCATATTTGTGTAAAAAGGACATGACCCCTACTCTGCAGGACTTGCAAAATATTATTCTCGGCTATGACATAACCTCCTTTTTGGGGCCTTAGTGTATTTCTCCTTAAGTCAGGAGCCCCCCTCCCTGTGTACTGCTGTGAGGGGAGAGGGAAGAAACTGTCTGTCCCATTTTTCGTAAAGCACTTTGAATTGCCTTGTGTTGAAAAGTGCTATATAAATAAACTTGCCTTGCCTTGCCTTATCAGTGACACCCATAACCATTATAGGCCTTACACTCAATTTAACAAACCACTTTGTTTATACTGTAAATATAAAAAATCATAAAATATGAAGCATTTTCATTGTGGGTTATACAAGAATATAATTAATTATATTTGATTATAACTAACTTTCGTTTTAATTATTCAAACTAATATGGAGATCTCAACAGGTGTGATAGTATCATTAACTGCTGTCTTCTTAATGAACGGAGTTCCAGAAGTAAACCGGCAGCTTTCAAATAGGTGTCAGCTACCTGTCCAATTAAATGTGTCTTTGGCATGACACTAATGCCAACTGGGTTACAGCACTGGTGGCTAACAAATGAATGAAGGGGGGGGCTGTTCAGAGAGGTGCCTGCCAGTTTGTCTGCTGGATGATAGGTTTGCTCATTTAAACTCTGATAGGTGTCCTGCCATCAGCCTGCTGCCCCACTCTGCTATCCCCCCCTCTCCACCTGCTGCTGTCACAGCTCCACCTGCTGACATGCTTTATCTCTAATAAAACACAATTTTAACATGATATTCTTGACAAGGTAGCATTTAAATATAAATGCTAAATAATTACAAAAATCTGTCAGTTATTGAGAGCATCTCATAATGGTTTCCACTCTTGTGAATTGTAAACACACAGCGTAGGATGTTTTTGTTTTGATTACTGAAAACAAGTGATTTGATTCAATCACGCATGTGTTTTTCTCTGATGTCAAAAGGAGATTCATGCAGCAGCTGAGGCAGATTTAGCAGTAGTTTTCTTCAGTAACTAAAGAGAGACATCAAGCTGTCTTGGCTCCTCTCCAGCTTCTGCATTGCTGTAAATATATCCAATTTGTGTTACAATAAGGCAACCTACAATTTACAGAGGCATCTAATGCATGAAATGTAATCTGATTAGTTTGATTCACAAAGAAACATGTTTTGCTTTAATTTAAACAATGTAGTTGGTTTAAGACTAATTCATCTAGTGAGCTTCTGAGAAGCTTTACATTAGCATTGTCCTTCTATTCAAGACTAAAAGAATAAAAAACAAAATGACCTATTGGTAAGAACCAACAGAGACCATACAAACTGTTGTAGTCCTTTATCACAGCCACATTTTTTTAACAACAAGGGTTACAAAAGTAATTTATTTACTCCTTTGACATTTCAGAAATCCTTATATCAAGAGCCTTAAACATGGCAGAAAGCCAACCAACTACAAAATGAATTGTTCAACACTAATAAGATTATTATTTTAAGAATGATGTAACCACTTGTCCAATGAACAATGACACATTGTGACTCGTTGTCTCTTGTACCTTTGGAACAGAACAGGAAAGGAGACAGTAGATTATGTCCTCCACATTGAAATCCATTATAAAGGGATGTTCTAATGGCCACTTCGTATTATCACCACTGCAGGTCTGCAGAGGGAGAGTAAAGAGAGATCTTGACCCAGATCAAGTGCTAGGGTCATCATCGTTAATGAGAGAAAGCCAAAAAGCAAAATGAAATCACACCAGACACATCAGAAAAAAGGCAGCAGAGGAAATGGTTATTTTGTTAATAAATTGTGTTTCACAGGAGTTTGATTATTCAGGGTTTTTATGTGAACACTAACAGCACATTGTGCCAGTTTTTATCAAAACATCTTCAAGGTAAAACTTTGAGACATCTTTTTGTTTATGTCGATACCACAGCTGTTACTGTGTTGAGTTCAGGGGAAGCAGTTAAGCTCAACGAAGAAAATTACATTGGTTTTCAATCTGCTTTTAGAGAAGAAGCTTTGATAAACTGACTGTATGCTAATCGCAGACCATTAGCACTAACAGCAGACAAACCAAGTTAGCGAGAGCAGCATTTAGCAGTTTAAGAGCCAGATATTTCTCACTCAGCAACTACAAAATGGGAAACGCCTTGACGTGACCCCTTAGTTATTGGACTTGTTTCGCAGCCTTATCTTCAGCATTTTGACTGTCACCATGTTGGTTCTTGGGAGCCAGAAGTTATACTTTTTAATGAGGATTAAAAGAGCAATCTTTCCCACTTTGTTTTTGCTCCTTTCTGTCCTTTAGTTTTGCGCCTGATAGGAGTAGCTCTTCAATGCAACAGATAAGAGCAGCTCTTCAATGCAACAGATAGGAGCAGCTCTTCAATGCAACAGATAGGAGCAGCTCTTCAATGCAACAGATAGGAGCAGCTCTTCAATGCAACAGATAGGAGCAGCTCTTCAATGCAACAGATAGGAGCAGCTCTTCAATGCAACAGATAGGAGCAGCTCTTCAATGCAACAGATAAGAGCAGCTCTTCAATGCAACAGATAGGAGCAGCTCTTCAATGCAACAGATAGGAGCAGCTCTTCAATGCAACAGATAGGAGCAGCACTTCAATGCAACAGATAGGAGTAGCTCTTCAATGCAACAGATAGGAGCAGCACTTCAATGCAACAGATAGGAGCAGCTCTTCAATGCAACAGATAGGAGTAGCTCTTCAATGCAACAGATAGGAGCAGCTCTTCAATGCAACAGATAGGAGCAGCTCGGGGCGCAGCTGTTAGCGCCGCCAACCACTAGGGGGCAGCAGATAGCTGTAACAATCTTTCACAAGTGGTTACAAGCACCAAAATGTCAATGTTACCTCATTCACACCAACGGTGTTTCAGGGCCGGTTCGGAGCTGGAGCTTGAAAAGCACCGGGTTTTCCTGTTCACACCGCAGCGGAGCAGCCTCTTAGCTCTGGAATCCGGTTCGTTTCAAGCACCAAAAAATTGTCCGGCTAGAGCAAAAGCACCGCATACGTCACGCTTACGTCGAGGCAGTTTTGAATGTAGCATGTAACAACTGTAAAGTTGGTAGTAAAGTCGTCCCATTTCTTCCATTTCGTTTCAACAGAGCAAAACCAAAACGAGTAGCACTTCAACACAATCGGCCATTGTTGTTGTTGTCGGTGTGAGCTGTGAGGGGTTTCAGCGCGGTTTGGCTTTATGAAGCAGGCACGCAAACGGTTATGACGCAAACAATGACGCAATGACGCAGCACCAGTCGGACTCTGGGCGGTGTGAAAAGAGCCGGAGCTAAACCGAAGAACCGGTTCTGAACCTGAAAAGCTCTAGCATGGAGCTCGAACCGGAGTTGCGTTGGTGTGAATGAGGTATGTGTATCCCTCTGGGGCCATTTAAAAAAAAGCCTGTTAGCCACCTCAATTTTCTAAATGGCGACCATATTCCAAGATGGCCGCCATTTCCAGCCGAGGAAACAGAATTTCAACCACTGGGTACATTTGGGTGATTTTGGTATTGAATTATATGTTTTTGACCATGGGAAAGTCAAATGTATATGTTTGAACTTATTCAGAGCTGTTTTGTGTAATTTTAAAACACAAAATGTAAAAATGAACACAGTATAAGCTGAAGTTGGCTTCATTGAATGATCGAATCAATATGAAAATCACCAGTTTCATTGACAGCACTATATTCCAGAAGAGAAACTGGGGGCTTAGTTTGTGGCTCTTGTACCAAGCTTCAATACAGAGAACTTCCCCAGCATTTTCAGTTGCCTCACAGGAGTAGTCAGCATAGGCCACCTTCATTAGCTTGTACAAACTGCCTGCTGTTATCTGGTGC